AGAAAGAAAGAAAGAAAGAAGAAAACGGAAGGCTAGAGGAGCCCATAAATTATTTGTAACAGCAACTCCTGTCTTGATCCTAGTTCTTAGTGAGGCCCAGAGAACCAAAAAGGACAGGAACAAAAGGCCCATGAATATAGTGGGAAAAGCATTGAGAAGGTTGGAAGACCGCCTAGGATGCTAATTCCCATCTGGTCCCTAGTGATTCCCTCTGATTTTCACTACCCAGGCTCTTGGAACACTGAGCAAAGAGAGGCAGGCCAGATCCTTCCAGGGGAAGGCAAAGCCTTCACTGTTTGCTATTCCCTCCAGCTCTAAGGCCTAGATCTCCTCCTCCAACTGCTTTGCCATTCTGCCACCCAAGCTTGCTTTAATCCATCATTATTTGAGTTCTATGGAGTAATCCAATAACTTCCCAAACTATTCCTGATCATTGCCTTGGCTGTTAGTGATGACATGATGTCATATGAAGAAAAGTTGACATAATTAGTAAATGTAGAAATGAGTGGAAGCAGATTTCAGCAGGAATTCATTTTCTAATTACTAGTGATTGAGAAACACCCTTGGATTGTCAAGGATTTCCCTGAAACTTTTTAACCAAGTTAGTGCGTGCCCTATGGGCTTCTCCTACCTTAGGGTCAGGAGAATTATGTATATATAAGAGGGAAATAGTTGCCCTCGTGAATCCTAGGGACTAACAATACCCCAAGTTTTAGCATCAGCTGAAGGATCACCTGGCAAACAATCTCTATCTCACTGCCCAATACCCATCGTGAACCCCAAGGTCCTTCCCAAGAACTCAAAATGTGAAGCTCTTTCCTACAGAATAAAGTTCTGGCTCCTCTAGATAATGGGCCTTAGTGTTTGCTAGTGGCATCCCAGAGGCCCCAAAAGGATCTGGCACCAGATCCTATAAACTCAGGACAGAGTAGCCTATTCCTGGAAATGGGTACACACAAGCCTCAGCAAATGACTGGATCAAGATTGTAGAACTATCCTTTCCTTTGGGTATCTGCAAATGAGAATGGGGGGCTAGAAGGGACCTAATAAGGTTTCAGTCATTCACCTTAGTTTTGAGTGGTGCAGAGGGAATGAATGTGGAGCATTCTGGGCAACTTACACAATCCTTTGTGCAACTAACTTCATCTCTCTAGGCCCATTACTCCATGTGAAAACTGAGGAGCTTTAGACAGTGCTACCTCAGGGGCAGTGGCATGCCAGGAAATGTTTTAACTGGGGTGGGGGGGGGGGAGAGTGCACACAACACACTTGTAAATTCAATCTGCATCATTAACATTTCCTCCCCTCACTTTCTTCAGTCTAGAAAACAAAATAAAGAACAAAGCCCTGATGCTGAGGTGCAAATGCTCACTCTGAAACTCGAACAATCTGTCAGTTCAGGCAGGCTCCAGAACACCCCTGCCAGGGGCTACCTTTAAAGATGCAAATACCCATCCTGACCTAAGTAGGGACCCACAGGGAAACTGAGCTGACAGAGCGCTAAAATGGCAGTCGGTTAGGGAAAGGAAGGGAGTCCATCGGTACAAATCAAGCGGAGATTAGAGCTAGGGAGTGCGAGACTGGGAGGTAGCTGGAGATAAATTTAAGAGGTCAATGGCTAGCTTCAGGTTTCCATGAAAGGAATTAAGAATAAATCAACAAAGGGCAGCTAGGTGGCGCAGTGGACACAGCACCGGTCCTGAAGTCAGGAGGACTTGAGTTCAAATCCAGCCTCAGACCAAACACTTGGCACATACTAGCTGTGTGACTTTGAGCAAGTCACTTAACCCTCATTGCCTCACTAAAAAAAAAAAAAAATGTGACCCTAGGCAAGTCACTTAACCCCATTGCCTAACCAAAAAAAAAAAAAAAAAGAATAAACCAACAAGCACGGAAATGCATTCCCAAGTGCTGGGACCTCGGAATACAGACACAAATTTAAGTCCAATTCATTAAAGCCCTTACTCTCTTGGGGTCGGGAGGGGTAAAACCTGCAGGCAATTTGAACATGTAAGGCCTGGGTATTTAGGAGGAAACCGAGAAAGTTCTGAAATAGAATAATCTCCATAGGCAGATTCCAGGAAAGGCTTCATTCAGGGGGAAGAAAGAAGTCCAGGGATTTTGGATCTGCTTCAAGTACAGAAAAGGCCTAGCAAAGGAAGCAGAATAACTAGGAGGTAAAGCAAATTGATAGTGAAATGGTAGGAGGGACAATTTGGTGAAATTCGGGATGCCGCTAGGGACTTTAAGTTGTTTATGTTTAGGGGTGAGGTACATTTGCCCCCAACTATTTCAGACCAAAAAAAATCCCAAGCACTATGGAAAGATTTCAGGGATTTGCACTGAGCCTACAAAAACTCTGCTGTCTCCATTTGAAGTGTAGGCTGGTCTCCCTCCAGGAAAAAATTAAAATGGCTCTTCAGTCTAGGTTGATAGACAATGCCATTCCCAAAGGAAAATGAGGCTTTGATGGGATAAAAGTCAGGGAGAGGGACAGGAGCAATCTGAGGTGGGAAAAAGGGGACTTGAAACTGTGTCAGATAGTTAATAGTATAAGGAAAAGGACAACTGAACACCTGAAACTTAGAAAAGTATGTTTTAAAGACCACATTTGAGGCTCTTCCTGAAAAGGAGGGGGCTGGGTGTTAAGGAGGGATCTGCCTGACCTCTATGCTACAGTATAATCGAATAGGTCAGCAGTGGTGGTTGGCGATTCCCGGATGTGAGGCAGCAATTTGCCTGCCCAATAACAGATCTTATCCTCCTAGAGTACACATCCGAGAATAATCAGAAAACTTTAAGACCTACCTAGAAACACTACCCACTTTTGGCAACTCACATGGGCATAAATGATAAGGACAGAAGGGAACCAAAGTACTACCAAAGACCACAAAGCCTTTCTCCTGTGAAGTTTTAAGTCAACTAGTGGTGTCTGAGAATGTTTCAGTCATATCTGACTCTCAGGGATCCCATTTGAGGTGTTCTTGGCAAAGAAACCATTTCCTTCTCCAGCTTTTACAGATAAGGAAACTGAGGTAAACAGGGTTAAATGACTGGCCTAAGAGTCAAACAGCAGTGTCTGAGGCTGGATTTGAACTTGGGCATTGCTGACTCCAGGCCCACTGGTCTAGCCACTATGCCACCTTTATCTGAGAATAGGTTTCAGATTTACGGACCACACCTGAAGTCTAGGGATGAAAGACTTTTGACCAGATGGAGATCAAGGCGTTTGCAAATGTAATCAAAGAGTTTAACATTTAAAAAGATGGGGGGGGGGGGGAAGACGATGACGACACCCTCCAGGTAGCCACCAAGCAAGGATAACTAGATTAACAACAAACAAACAAACAAACAAAAAAACAGGCTGTTTCCATCTGGGAATAAATGAAAAGCCAAAGACTGGCAGAAGGCTCAGTCTCTCCCCTGAATGACTACTGCATTGGCCAATTTTGATTCCCAGGACATTAAAGAGCACCAAGCTGCCCTGGTCTCAATCTTCTGTGCTTAAGTGAGCAGATGTTATTGCTAAATCACATTTGAAAATCCTGCAACGGGGAAAGGCACCACAGAGAGACAGCAGATGTCTCCACTTGAAAAAACGAATGGATCAAAAACTGTCAACTACTAACCAATAAACTTGACTCCCAATTCCTATGAAAATTCCATATATTCTATAAAATTCTATGTATTTTTAAAAATGTTGGCAAAATACTTATGGCAGCTTTTTGTAACAGCAAAAGACTAGATGCAGAAGTAGGGAACCTGTATCTTGGAGGCCACATGTGGCCTCTAAGCCGCAGTTTCCCACCCCAGGTAAAGCTAAAGGGGCGCCTGTTAATTATACCTTAAGAAATGAAAAAGGGCATGGGTTGAGAGAAACCTGGGAAGACTTGGGATGAACTGATGCAGTCAAGTGGGCAGAGTCAAAACAAAATACACAATGACAAAGCAAACAAGTTCAATGAGCAGCTGATGCCAGAGGACTCAGGATACTTCTATGCCACTACCTACTTCCCGAGGCGAGGTACAAACTGACACATTTAATTTAGGAGCATGGACAAACAACGTGGCAATGTTTTAGCTGACTAAGCAAATATGTTCCAAGGTTTTTTCTTTTAAATTAAATTGGTGGTGTTAATCAAGAGTGCTATCTTAACCCAGATTTTGTCATTTCATAGCATCCTTGTGGCAGATGTGAAATGGACAATAATTAGAGGAATTCAGAACAGGATGAATGCAGACTCATGAGTGAACTAACGTTCAATGTTATCTTGGCAGACTTCCCATGAAGTTGGAATTTGTTTCAATGACTTGGAGGAGGGCATAATAGGGTATAAATGGCATCAACTGGATTCCAAAGTCCAAGACAGGGGAGGCCTGGTTTGACAGGGCTTTGTCTGAATCCGAGCTGGGTGTATCAGTCACAGGGATATAGGAGCCAAGGAAATGAACTCAATCTTAGGTGAAGCATCTTAGGTGAACAAGGATATGGCACCTTGCTCTCCCGTCTTTTGTCAGACCAAATTTGCAGCACTTTGCTCAGTTTTAGGCAGCATCACAATGTGATATAACCACTGAAAAAGTGGAGAGCGCATCCAGAGGGCAACCAGGAGGATCACAGGCCTTAAGTCCATGTCCAGAGGTTCTGTTGAAGGAACTGGTGTTCAGCCTAGAAAAGAGAAGACTGGGAAGTGGAACATGATAGCCATGATCATGAAAGGGTGGAAATTACCACGGAGCAGATTTAGGTTTGATGCCTGGGAAAACTTATGATTCCAGCTATTCAGAAGTCAAATAGGCAGGTGCCACCCTCCACCCTGCCCCCAACTGGAGAGGTCTTTAAGCAGAAGCTGGGTCACCACTGGTCAGCTCCATTATACTGGGGATTCCATGTGGAATGAGGTTTCACTGGATGGCCAAAGTCCCTTTTTAGCCCCCAAACCAAATTAAAATGTAACTGGGAAAATATTGAACAATATAAAAATTCAACACAACACATATATAATGTGGGCTTCTGAGTGGCCCTCATTTCTATTTGATTTATTTCAGCCTCTCATTTCATTCCTTGAGAAAGGAAGTGGCTTGGGGTCTCATAGGTGGTTATGACTGAACACTCATTTGAATCTAGGTCCTCAGATTTCAACTCATGAACAACTTTTTCCCCCAACTGCCATAGTTAAACAAGGTAAATAGTTTCCTTCTCTGTAAAATAGAGTGAGCAGCATAACTTGGGGGTCCAGAGCTGTTCTACTCTGCTCTTCAAGGCTACAGAAGATGACTGACTTCTCTCCTTGCCAAGAGTGAAAAGGCCACATAGCAGGATTTAGCACCTTGCACTTAAAGTCCCAGGCTGCTTGAAGGAGACTGGGCAGACTGCTAGTGACCATTAAGTCATGAATGCCAACCCAAGGACAGTCAGCTGCTTTCCCAAGCAATGGCCTCTACCTTGAGCCCAGGGCAGCCTTGAAGCCTGGACGGGGACAAGAGAAGACCTTGGAAGGTAGGCAAGGTGGCAGTGGGTTGGCTGCTGGGCTCTACCCCTTGTAGTTCAGGCCTCAGTAACCTGTTCCTCTATTCCCTCCACTTCTGAAGTTTCAACTATTCTTGTAGCAGACTGCACACTGCCAAAGTCTGGGCAAGACATTTCTTGCTATGGACCCAATTTCCTTAATTACAAAATGAAGTCATGAACTAAAGAGATGTCATGACATCGTTTTCTCCAGTGACAAACCCTTTTATTTTGCATGAAGAAATACGTCTATGTAGAGAAGCTCAATTCATATGGCTCAGGCCTGAATGTTGCTTTTGGCACTGAAAGCCATGTAATAGACCACCATGCCAATCATTGCAGCTAGCACTTCGGTAGAGACCCAAGGCCCATTCCAGGCACCCTGAAAGAGAAGAGGAAGCAGACAACTAGGACCGAGGTGTGGTAGAGTGACTTGCAGTGGGAGTGGGAGTCGCCCCCCCCCACCCCAAGCGGAAAAGAAAATACCCTTTTTCATCCCACCTACTCAGGAGACAAATAATATAATTCAACCCCACCCTCCTCTGTACTTAGAGGGCCAGCACAAAGTACAAGGTCAGCTTTTCCTTCCCACCTCTGATGTGAGATCCTCATCCCCTCCCCCATACCTACCCGGTGATCCACGCTGACTGTGAACAAGGGTCTAATGGCTGAGACATCCTCATTGCTTCTCTGGGCCTAGAGCAGAGAGGATATAGCATAGGGGCTGAGCACCTCATCCGTGGAGAGGAGGCAAAATGTTTTGGACAAGGGTCCCTGGGAGAGAACTCAAATGGCCACTGGTGGGTCCAAGGCCTGAAGTGTGAAGGGGAAAAACGTCATTGTTGGAGTGCCTCCTCCAACCAAGATGGCTTATTTCCACCCACAAAGGTTCCATCTTGTACTCTAATAATACACAATCTCCGTATTTCATGTGTGAACAGAGCCCCCTAGTGGCCACTACTTCATCGCCAGGAAGGGAGAGGTTTTGTCCATGCTTATGACTGAGTCCCTAATGCTTCTCTTAAGGACAGGAAGTCTTGCTCACCTTTCTCAGAAGACTGTAGGATTCTTCGTCAAAGAACTTGACTTCATAAGTTCCAGAACTGGCACTCTTATGTTCCAAGCTCCAAGATACCTAATATCATGGGGAATAAGAACTCTCTAGCCAGAAATGTTGATACTCTGCTGCCACCCTCCAAGCCCTTTTGCTTTGCACACCATGAGATGTCTACAACAGAATACAACTTATCCCAAACCTTTCCATTCCATCTGACTCCCAAGCTCCCCCACTCCCCAGCATGCTCGATTTATCAGCCCACGAACCCCTTCATCTCTCCTCTTACCTGATAACGTCCAATATCCTGGCCACGGGTCACTGGGAACTGCTTTCCGTTAACATCAGCATAGAGGGCCACGTTCTGGGGAGCAATCAAGACAGGCAAAATGAGAAGCCAGAGATACTCCTCTCCTTTTTGTGTGTGCATGGAAAAGAGACATTTATACAATAGTTAACAGTACACACTGTGCCACCCACTTCAGTGCTCATGACTTACAGGCAAAGGTCTAGCAATGGTTCGGGGTGGTTGATTTCTCTGGCATGGAATTCACTATGAGAGGCCCATAGAAAAGGGACCTTCCATAAATCCAAAACCATGCTAGGGAAGGAACCCTAGAAATATTTGAGGTACAGGGTTCTGGGCCTTTGGGGGAAATCAACCCCTCAAGTCATAAATGCCTCGCCCTATTCCTACCTCTAGGTTTCTAACCCAGATCTGTAGTCTATCAGTCATTAAGGATCATAGACCCTTTTGGCAGCCTAGTAGAGCATATGGATTTCTAATGTTACCTACGTTCGTAATTGAAGGTAATGCTTAATTTCAGGTAGACTGGTAAAAATAAAATGTAATTTTTAACCCACCTAAGTTCCCTGACCCCAGTTTAAGAAAGTAGAATCTGCGACACAAATAATAGAACATTCTCACCCCTGAAGAGCTCCTGTAGGCCCTTAAAGGTAGTTGGCAGGCACTTAATCACTGGGTAAATTTAACCTGATTACACTTAGAATCAAAGGCATCAATAAAAGTCCAAGGCCTTTTTAAGAAAGGTTGTCAGAGTTTGGTTGGAACTTTGCTGGGCAGATGATTTAGCATGAGCAAGAGCCAAAAGGGACTGCTGAGTTAACACGGGGGGGGGGGGGAAGATGTGTTTATGAACTTTTCAAATATAATTGGTTTAGTTTGTGACCTATGTATTTTATATACTTCAAAACATTTTGAGATGAAGTCCACAGCGGTCACTAGACTGCTACTGGGGTCTAGAACACAAAACTTTTCAGAAGCTCTACTCTAAAAAAGCTATTGGACATAATTTGCCCCATTTGAATATAGACTGAGGATCTTAAACCATCCTGGACTTTTCTCCAGGAATAAGTGTTCACTTGTGACTTAGGTCAGGGGAGAGAAGTTCAATTCTAGGAGAGTTAGGTTCTGTCCCCAGCTCAAAGGACTCTGAACAGAGGCCGTTTCTCAGATAACCTGAATTGGGAGGAAGCTCAGGTTATCTAATCCAATTCACCAATGAGCAGGAATCTATTAGAATAGTCCCAACCTATGCCTGCCAGTAGGAAGATTTCCTAAGGCGGCCCAGGCTGCCTTTAGACAGCTCTAATCACCAGCAAATTCTTCCTTCTGCTTAACTGAAATTTGTTTTTAACTTCCACTCCCAATTCTAGTTCTGCTCTCTAAAACCATGGATAACTGTCACCTTCTACTCCAGGAGTGGGGCCTCAACCATGTGGCCTTTTGACTGAGTCCAATTTTGTTCTGTGAAATTTTGATTCAGTCTTTGACTGAAGGGCTTCACTTGAGGACCTAGAGGCTGCAGGTTCCCCACCCCTGCTCTAATCCAAGTCTTTTCTTCAAGCTAAAGAGCCTCAATCCATTCAACCTTTCTTCATATGATATACTTTTACCAGGGTTTTGTGGTCATTGAAAGTGTTTTCTAGAGAACTGGTGCTCAAATATTTGACTGCATTTAAAAAGGTCTAGCCTGGGGATGAGGTCATATGGTTGGGTATTTTTTTTTCTTCTAATTATCAAGAGATTATGGATGTAAAAGCTATTTTACTTGTAAAAGTTAAAGGACTCATGAATAGACACAAGGAATTAGCAAACCCAGGGTCAGGGGCACTTGCTTCCCTCTTGCAGAAAGGTCCTTCCTCACCTGTGCCCCATTCTTGCACATCAGAGAGATCTCAACAATGAAAACAGTCTCAGTGGAAATGACTGCATCAGAGGTGGTGTAGTAGGAAGGAGTAATCACAGGATCAGTGCAGGGCTCCGCTGTTGAGGGGATGGAGAATACCAAGTTAAATTAAGCAACTGACATACAACAGATCCCTAACAGAACTTCACCCCACTGTGTAAAATACAAGAGATGCAATGGGGGATAGCATGGTGGTAGTAGATAAAGTGTAAAGGGGCTCAAAGAGGAGAGAGGTCAGTGACTGTTAGCACAGGCAAAGTTTCCTGTTTCACTCGGGCTAGACCTTGATGGTTGCAGCAAAAGAGAAAATATGTCTGGAACATCCTGTTCTACCCACTTCAGTGCCTAAGGCCTACAGATGAGGAGGCCTGGCAATGGTTGGGGGTAGTCAATTTCTCTGGCATGGAATACACTATGAGAAGCCCTGTTTTTGGAAGGGTTTTTCATAAATCCAAAGCCATGCACACTCTGAAGCAACTTGAAAAACACAAAATAAACAGGTCGAGACTAAATTGTGATGCTTTAACCCTAAATACCAGGTTGAGTTGACTTATAATTTACCCTGAAAATAACCAGTATCTAGTGAAGATTTGGGAGAAGAGTGAGAGATTAGAGGAAAGGAGACCAGTTACTAATTAACTGGTTTAATAATTCAGGTATGGGAAGATGGTCTACCTGTGAGAGCCTAGATCTAGAGCAGAAAGCCATCTATTCCAAACCCTCTCATTTTCTGAGTAGGAACCTGAGGCCCAGAGAGGGCCAATAACCTTTAAGAGTCCACTACTTGCCAGTTACTTGCTCAGTGCTGGGGATATTAAGAAAGGCAAAATACGGCCCCGCTAAGAGTATTTTATATGAGAGGGACCTCAGAGGCCATCTAATTCAAGATTCTCACTTTATTGAGAAATCTGAGGCCCAGAAAAGGGTTTCCTCCACCCACAGTGGTGGAAGGGCCAGCATTCACTCGATATCCGGGTACTACACAGTAGGAAATTGAGATGAGGTGGGGGAGGGGCGCCGAAAAGTTATCAAGAGAAGCCAAGTCTGCAGCCTACCCCCTTCCTCAAGTCCACGTAGACAACTTGGTCAATTTCACTACGTATGTACTAAGTGCGACCATTCACGTGGCGCTTTAAGGCTTGCGAAGCCCCTCACGGGTGGGTGGCTGTGTATATGTATATAAAACACACAGGAGCCTGGAGCGATCCCCTAAGAATCCACGGCTAGGTAGTGAGTTCCCCACGATCGCCCGCTCGCTCCTTCCCAACCTTTCCATTCCAGGGCTGGAGGGCATTCCCCCCTTCCCCCCACCTCACCTCCAGGGCGGCGCGCGGGCCACCTCATGGCGCGAGCCTCGGGATTCCATCCCAATCACCCCTGCCGCCCGCCGAGCCTGGGATACGGGGGGCCCGTCCCTTCCCCCCCCCAGGCCGATACCTGAGGAGCCCGAGAGCCCGACGAGGAGCAGCAGCAGGACAAGGGCTCGGCGGGCAGAGGCCGGGGCGGGCGCCAGGAAGGCCGCCATCACCTCCCTCCAGCGCTGGCGGGAGAGAGAGACCGCATAAAGAATGGCCGGCCAATTTAATCGTTGGAGGCTGGACCGGACCGTACACGTAATCAGCTCTCGCGAGCCAATCACCGGCAGGTCCGCCAAGCAACCCATGGGAGGCCTCGACGGCGGCGTGGCCCTGACGTGTCGTCCGCCTCGCCTCGCTTCCTCCAGCGGAGGCGGGCACCTCTGCAAAATGGCCGCGGCTGCCCTCCTCCGGCCGGGAGCTAGCTCACACCGGAAGGGGGCGTCAGAATTGTCTTTGCCATCGCGCACGCGCTTTACCATGCCTTCCACTTTCGGCCCCGAGCCCTGGGCACTTTCTTCCCCCGCTCCTTTCTCAAATCTCGCGACAGCGATCTGTGCTCGCGAGAGGTGGCAAGCCGGAATTCACTTTCCCGGATTCACTTTCAACCATGGCGACTAAAGTGGTAACCGCTGCCAGCAGCACCGCGAAGGCCATCTTAAAACTAGGGGCTATTAGCCGCCCTTGGGAGGTGAGAGAGCTTCCGGGCCAGCGTTGGGGGGGGGTGGAATACCGACCGAGGGGAGACAGGCATTGACCACCGCCTCCCTAGGCGACCCCAACAACCTTAAAAGCTGCGAAAAACAGGGCGGGGGGAGGGCGAAGAGGAGGGACGACGACAGTTCCGATAGGGGGCCTCATTTGTTTGGAGTCCGGAAGTGGGGGCGGGAATTCTCCTGAGACCTCAGATTTGATTGGTCGAGGTGAGACTAACTGGTCGGTTGGCGTGGTTCATTGGCCGCTGCCTGGAGGTGAGTGGCAGACCTGAAGATTTCCTCGAACTTCACCTTGAAGGTGGCCGGCTCGGGCTGGGAACTTGTCTCTCGGCCCACGTTGTCGCCTCCCTGGTTTTGGCCTCGGGAAGTGCTCGGACTCACCGTTCCGATGAAGGATCGCGGGCTGCCACCGCGTTGCTTAGCAGTACGTAGAGTGCGCTGACCTTGAAGGCAGTCAGTAAACACTTAAGCACCTACTATGTGCCAGCCACTGGGCTAAGCGCTAGGAATCAAGGAGACCTAGGTCCAGAACCTTCTCTGAGCCTGAGTAGGCCCCCAATACACACCTATAAGAGGGCCTGGCGTTCAAGAGAGACAGATTGGAGCTGGCTAGAGCTGGGAGGAACAGATGAGAGATGGAGAGAGGGAGCTAGAGAATAGCAGGAGAGCCCTAGTGGATCTGACGATTCAGCACAGTAAACTGAGATGGAGCACTCCAACAGATAGGAAGGGAACCTGGAGAGAGCAGTGTCCCAAAAAGCCAACTGATATTATCCAGGAGGAGGGGATAGAAAGCACTATCAAAAGCTGCAGTGCTGAAACAAGAGACCAGAAAAAGGCCTTGGCATTAAGCCATTAAGAAATCATTGGCCTCTTTATTTCCAAAGTCAGTCTTTCTAATCTGTGTTTTTCATATTATGTTGTAATTTCGTTTTTTAAATTTTATTTTGTTTTGTTTTATTTTTTAGGCAATTGGGGCTAAGTGACTTGCCCAGGGTCACACAGCTAGTAAGTGTCAAGTGTTTGGTCTGAGACCGGATTTGAACACGGATCCTCCTGACTTCAGGGCCGGTGCTCTATCCACTGCTCCACCTAGCTGCCCCCATGAAATCTCACCTCTTTTTCTTTTTTGAGGAAATTGGGGTTAAGTGGCTTGCTCAGAGTCACACAGCTAGTGTTATGTATCAGAGGTTGGATTTGAACTCAGGTCTTCCAGACTCTGGGGCTGGTGCTCTATCCACTACACCACCTAGCTGCCCTGTGTTGTAATTTCTAAAACTGTCAGCTAAGGAGATAGTGTGGCTTAGTGGATAGAGAGCAAGCCTCAGCTAGAATAAATTGCAAAGAAGATGTGGTGGACCTGCATTGGTAGAGGGAGTTTCCTTTTACTATTGAAATCACAGGTCCACCAATCCCCAACCTAGTCCCTTTTGTCAAGTGAAACCCTTAAAAGGGGGCCATCCTTGTTTTGTATTTGTTTTTTTAGCAGCCATGCTGCTAAATATTTTTCCTTCGATTATTATGTTAGCTTCTGGCATAAGGTACATCATACTTTTATCCAGTTAACTAAAAATCCCCCCCCCTTTTTTAAAGTGATTTTTGTCATGAATGAATGTTAAATTTTGTCAAAGGCTGAATTTAGTGAGTTTTTTGGGGAGCAGTTTGGCAACACAGTAAAGGTTATAAAAAAAATCACACCCCTTGACTTGATAATTCCTTAAGAATATACTCTGAAGGTGTTTGTATCCCCCTCGCCCCCAAAAAAAGTCACTGTCTCTTCAAAGATGTTTATAGCAGTATGGCATACAACTGTAGGGGTGGGTAGCGGGACATTAATTCAATGGCATGCTCTAATGCAGTTAAGAACATGAAAACATTTGGAAATCTTTAGGAAATAATACAGATCGGAAAAAAGGCAGGCAGGACCAGAAGAACAGAGCACACGTGAACTATAAGCATTGGGTAAAAGTGAAGAATGAATGGGAAAAGAAAATACTAATTAAACTGTAATTGAAAAGTTAAATTTTAATGAAATAATTTACCTAAGTATAAGTGTGTGCAAAGTATGTTTTACTTCTATTGATGTTTAGTATTAAGTTTACAATCATTTTGAAAAAGCCTCATTGGTATCCCTTAGAAAAGACAATTATCAATCCAGTGGTAGAGCCAAAACCTGACTTGAAAGTCAAAGAGGTTAATGGGAGGTGAGAAAGTGGAAATAGTTGATTTTTCTAAGAGTTTGTAATTGGAAAGAGATAGGTAGGGTCAAGTGAAATTTTTTTTTTTAAGGATGGGAGAGACCTGGGCTTTTTTGATTGTTAGCAGCAGAGAAAGAACCAGTAGTTAGGGAAAGGTTGAAGATGAGAGAGGAGTGAGCTAGAGACTAGAGAGGGTGGGATCAAAGGCCAAAGTAGAAAGATTGGCATTGGTGAGAAAGAAGAGCCTGGGAAAGGAGAACGGGGAAAAGGAATCATGTCAGGAGTGTTGAGGTGTAGAATGGGGAGAAGAAAAGGCTAGTAATGAATTCAGCAGTCATTGAACAACATTACATCACCGTGCTCAATACAGGGCTTACCAGGTATAGCCAAGATTTGATTCTTTCCTTCATGATGCTTAGAATTTATGTGACCTCCACTCAGATAACTGTAATGTAAGTTAATAATGAGTGCATAGGAGGTGGGGGAGAGGCAAGATTCAAGAGTATTAAGATTATTAGCAGAGACATTAGGAAAGGCTTCAGAGAGAAGAGGAATAAATGAAAAGTATCTGTTGAGTACCATGGTGGCATTTGAATTAGCTTCAAAGGAAGGTTTGGGATTCAAGAGGAGGGAAGTGTCTAAGGAGGAGTAAAGAGGGAGATGCAGGCTAAGGAGCAGAGTTGAGTGTCTGTGAATAGGTTTAACTGCTGCCTTTCTCTTGGTCAGAAAGGCTTAGGAAACCACTGGGTTAATTGAATGGCTGAATGCCGTCCTATTTTAAAATGGTAGAAGAGTCCGAATTAATCAGCCTGTTGAAACAGAAGGAGCAAGGGATAACAGGACTTTGGCTTTGGACTTGGAAGCCCTGGGCACCGTTTCCTATTTCTGCTGCTTGCTTCCACCATGACCTCAAGAAGTCACTTTAGCTCTCTGGGCCTCGGTTTTTTCATTTGTAAAGTGAGAGGTTTGGACTTGTTGCTCTTCCTTTTCTAAATGCTATGAGCCTACTTCCTCAGTGAAGTGTCTAGAGGATCCGTTTCACTGAAAGCCCTTTGTAAGTCATAGAATGCTGTAGACATGTGAGCTTTCTTACTGTTATTCTTATTACAGATTACTGAGACATTCATTTAAGCAGCATTGATGGAACAGCTGTCCTTCCCAGTTCTGTGCTAGGGAGCAGCAGAATAGAAGGCCGTGACTGCTCTGCCCTGAAGCAGCCTGCATTCTAGCTGGGGAGAAAGCATAAACCCACGAGGCCACAAAGGAAAATGAACAAAATAGCTTCTGGGCCTAGTACCAGGCAGCCCTTAGTGTGCATACATATGATGATTGGGGGAGGGAGGATGGAATAAAGGAGGCTTGGAGGAGGCCAGGGCCAAGAAACTGAGGCAAAGCCAGGAAGGGGCAAGAGGACCCATAATGAAGAGACCTTAAAGAAGCTGGAATGCCATGAGGTACAGGGGGACTCACTGTCACTCCCAGCACTTCCTCAGTTTCTTCATCTATAAGAAATGGAATAATAATGTGTACCAGAGTTAGAGAGGGACTTTGCAAACCTTAAAGCCATTTGGGAATGTCAGCTCTTATTACCCAATTCACAAGGTCCTTGGAAGAATCAAATGAGATTGGGAAAGAAGGAGAGATGGGAGAAATGAAGGGGGAAAGGGCACAAATAGAGGACTTTTGGCAGGACTGGAGCAAAGGACAAGAGAGGGAGTTGGAATGAAGCTGTTTTGAGATGAGCAGGCCATCTCGGTAAAGTTCGGCTCTGTGACCTTTCAGCTTTCTTGACTTCGGTTTCCTCTTCTGTAAAAATGATGATTTTTAGATGATTTCTCAAATTCTTCTAGCTTTGCTATTCTATGATTTTACTTTAAGCTGTGATTTTTTTTTTACTCAAAGCTTAACTCAGGCCTTTTCAGATCTCCTCAGCTGCTACAACCTCTCCATCCCCACAGAATCTTGTTTTTCTGTTGTATGTATTTTCTGTCTTCCTTGATAGGCTGGAAGCTCATTAAGGGCAGAGACTTCTTTGGTTTTGCCTTTGTATCCCCTGAACGTAGCTTAATAAATGCTTATTGATTGATTGCCATGGGCTGTGGGGGAAGCAAGATAGAATGGTGAACTGGAGTTCAAATCTTAGCTCTGCTGATTTGGGGCAAGTCATTTCACCTGTATCAGCCTCAGTTTCCTCATCTGTAAAATGAGGGCATTGGATTTGAACAGTTTCCTTTTGAACAGTACTTTTCAGTACTAAATTCTATAATCTTGGGTTAATTCCTTGTCTGCAATAATAATAATAATGTGTATATACATATATGTGTGTGTATGTACACATATGTACTGCGTTAGGGCTTACAAAGCACTTTCCTCACATTGGTCCTGTGAGGTAGCTCAGGTATTGTGATCCCCATTTGAAAGATGAGGAAACTGACTTTCAGGGGATAGCTTTACATGCCAGTGGTGCCAGGGCTGGTAGGTGTCAGAGCCTGAATTCAGGGCCAGAATTCTTGACTCAAGTCCATTGTGTTTGCCTCTCGACCATTCTTTCTTGAGTCTAGTAGCATTAAATTTGCTACAGGA